AAACAATTACAATATATATTTTTGAAAGCATTCTTAATTTACAGCATTTTTTCACACCTGCCAAAAACTTTTGCACAGTATTGTACATACCAGACAACGCCAAAGAAATACAAGTGATAGGACAGATTAGGGGCATTGTGCAGCCATCACAACCCAGCAAATACTGAGGAGCCCAAATGGGGCTGGTCATGGTCATGGCTCACCTCATGGCTACCCAACCTCTCCTGGCTCCGAAATTTGGTCATTGGGATGGCATTCATCATGTTTGCCGTGTTTGCATTGGGATGCTGGTTTGCTGCTTCATGCAATGGTTCCCGCTGTGCTTAAGCACCCTTAATAGTCTAGTCCCTAGGCAGGTGCAAGCATTCTACCAGAACATCTTGGTGAAGGATGGTTCAGTCAAAAGCAAGCTTTCTCAGAACCAAAGGGGGCATTTTGAGGGCAACGACATGGGAAGTGAGCGCTGCACCTGCCAGCAATGTAGAAAAGGCTCTCTGGAACGTTATTAGACCGGTAAGGGCAGCAGAAGACATCTTTGACCAAAGGTTACCAAAGGGCCCATTAGCAAAGTAAAAACAACCAATTATGTAATTCCACGCCTCAGGTAAGGGAAGACCTTATTTGGTCAGAAGGAAGTCAATACTGATATAACTAAAGTTGCAGAATGCTTGTGCAAGGAGGTAACCAATAGGTAACAGGCTGACAAGGTATAAAAAGTTTTGCATGCACAAATGGGCTTTCCCTCTCTTATGAGAGGGACCCCACTTTGGTACCAAATAAACCGGTTAAACAGACCTTTTTTGTGCCCGGAGGCTTATTGGCAGGCTCTTCGGGGATATTACTACTATTGTGGCCAACAATTTAATGTGTGTGAATCCAGCCAACTGTAGTTGATTGAAAGCACGTAATTAAGAAAACCAGGTTAGTGTAGTGTAGTGTGAGTCTAGCCAATTTGGCAACCACAAGTCATAAATGCATAGACATGATAAATAAATGGCTTACAAAGCTTTAGAAAAAGAAATATCCTAAAGAACAGGCTATCTTCATCTGTTAGTTATTACAAATAAATAGTTTATACAGATATAAAACTAATATTCGTCCAGAAATCAACTAATTCCAAGGATAGGCCAAGGAGGTTGATTACATGAATGAAGCCTCATGCCTGACTCTGGGCTCACTTCCATTTTCCACTTGAACTCAGAGGATTGCTGGGGATAAAACATGCCCTGGAGAACCATCTATATTCCCTTAACCTCTCACAGAAAATATGAGAAATGTAATAAATTAAAAAAATAAATTGATACGTTTTGCAGGCTTCATACAGCCTTCATGTATCCTAGCATAGATCCTTTGTTGTATCTTAAAAATTCACTGAATTCCCTAACATCCATGTACCACGCTGGCTTTAGCAATCCTAATTATGGAAGCAGGAATACTTCAAGATGTCATTAGTATAGCCAGGTTCTGTTGTTTGTACACAGATATGAAATATAATTAAGAATGCAGCTATAGGTACAAAAAACAAAGGGAATAATAAAACTGAAAACTGTCAGTAGTTTTTTTTAAAATAGCAAAATAATACATTTTATATATAATCGAGATAAGCTGTAGTATTTCAGGAACCCTACAGTGCTGGGCACACAACTGGAGAACACAAAATTTCCTTCTAATAGACTTGCTCCTAGTTTATTCCCGTGTCTTTAACAGCAAAATCACGAGCTGAAATTGACCGCTAAAATCTCTACATGCTGAGTTCTGCGCATGAAGCTGTTACTTGTATTAAAAGCAGGCCAGGTGTTTTTCTCACTGTTTTTGTCTAAAGGAAAAAACTTGAAATTTCAATTAAATTAAAAACATGGACTATTAAAAAAAAAAAACCTTAGCAATAATATTAAACCAAAGCTCGGAACAAATAAATAACTCATTTACCGCAAAGGCAAAATAATAGCACGGTAGTAAAAACACAACGAAAACGCAACACTCGATCTGAAGAAGACCAGAAGCACGAGTAAGCATGCGCAACAGGCTGACTTGCTTTTCCTTTCCTTGAGCAGCCTCGCTACAGGAAGGCGTACTCAGGCGCATGCGTCAAGCCCTGCTCAGACGAAAGAAAGCAAGCGCACGCCCTCAGGCTTCAGAAAGATCGTTGATCGTTTTCCCTCATCCTCAAAGCGCATGCGCAGGAAACTGTCTCACACCAACAGGATTAAATAGTATTTTCCTTCTCCTTCTGCCTACCGAGAATACGGACAAGACTCCGGTTTCTGCCAGGCAAGGCTGCTTCTTTGCTGGGAATCTTGAGGGAAGACGAAGCGGCTTCTCCCATCGTTGCGAGAGTACGGAAGAGTAGGCAGGCGGCAGTAGCAGCGGCAGTAGCAGCAGCAGCAGCAGCAGCAAAAGGCATTGCCCCTCCCGCCTTCCTTGAGCCCCAGGGCAAAAGGGACGAAAAGGCGGTAACGAACCGCCTGGTAGCTTGCGTAAGTGCCGGCCTCGAGACCCGGGGCACGTGCCCAGCAGATCCGTGTGCTCGAGACCTGGGGCACGTGGCTAGCAATCCGTGCGGGAAAGAAAAACACGGGAGCCCGTCCAGGTTCTGTCGCCGCACCGCCGTTGCCTCTGATCCTGCTGCTGGTTGTGCAACCTTCGTTTGACTCCTACAATATTTATAACTGGATCTCTTGTCACGGACGAAGCTACAGGCAAAGTTTGCCCTTTAAATCACAAGATTGCTGACTGCAGTTTAGCCTAGTGTGTCATGGAAGGCAAGTCCCGGGCGTTAATTTGTGGTTAAGTATGTTGTGGGTACTCGGAAAATAGAGTTAATAGATTAAACCATAGTTAAATCAGCCATGGGGGTGTTATGTACTCACCTTCACGGTTGGAACCCTGGCCAATCAGGATCAGAGGTTGCTATGGTCTTGCTTTCTCTCTAAAACCTGGATTATATTAGACAGCAACCTAAGCTTTACTTAAGCCTGGTTTATGAAATAACTGGCTGGCTTTGCACAACCCAGTGGATGTGACTGCATGACATCCTAGGCCATAGTTTACTAATTTGGGAAATTCACCCAGAACATGTAACTTTAAACTACACAGATTCAGTTTGCACACACTAAGCTAAAATTTGGTATCCTAATATAGTGTTTTGTGCAAACATAAGCACTAACCCATAATTCACAGTTCATAAATTGCAGTGCCATCATTTGCACAACACTAAGCCCTGACCAAGCAAAGCATATTATGGCATAATAGCATTCCTTAATTTCCCATAGGAAAGTTTTTCTGACCAAAGAAATTGGAATTCCTTTGTGAATAAGGAATAGCCTAATGTTCCCATATGCTAATCTAATCATCAAGAGGCATTTTGAAATAGTACAGCTGAAGTTTATCACTTGTTCCAGTTTCTATGACATTCCTATCAAAACTGACAATTATGGCATTTCCAGAGGCTGGGCTTGCATACAACTCTAAGCCATCATGAATACTTGATTTTGGCTTGTGGATTATGTGGATTCAGCTATTGTGGTTTATTTAAACTATTATTAAAACAACACAATGTGATTCCAGCCAGAGTTTTGAAACCTTAATAGTACTAGTTTATAGCATGGTGAACCTGGCCAGGACCAATTTTCTGCTTGGAGGTAATTGGTCCTTGAACTGGCAGCTATTGTCAGCCTCCCAAGTGGACCAGACAGGAAACACAACAAGATGAACTAATTCTACTTTATTGTAAGGCTATGTTAACAGAAGCTTGTATGTCTGAAGTACAAATCTCCTGCCATCTCTTTTTACCACCTGAAAGTTAGGGCAGATCCTTTCTAAGTTTCTTTCTCTGCCCGTTACTTAGTTGCAGGCTCTTCCCTCTTTTGTCTGGTCGTTCCCTAGACTGCATCTCTTCCCTTCGTCTTCCAAGGTCATTCTCACATTCCATTACAGCTATTTATATAATATTCCTCAAGGCTTCATTCTGTCATGTACATAAAACTATTGAGGTAAATTTGTTCGGTGCTATCAGTATCACTGCTAAGATAGCCAAGCTCTTAATTCATGTCCTCATGTCATAGTTGGATTATTGTAGCAGCCTGTTGGCCAGGTTACCTAAAAGATCACTCCTCCCCTTGATTTGTTTCTAGAATGCTTCTATTCATACTACCCTGGACTTTCCTTATTTGCTCCACCTCTGTTTATCACCAAGCATTGATTACATTGGTTGGGAATTTGAGAGATACCAATACTAATTGGGTGGTACTGATACATAATGCCCTGCATACCCACTGATAGTGCTGCTAGTATTATGGCAAGAGGCTGGGCTTGCATACAGCTCATGAATACTTGATTTTGGCTAGTGGATTATGTGGATTCAGCTATTGTGGTTTATTATGTACTGATACATAATGCCCTTTCAGTTTCCCAGGTCCCCAAAATGAAAAGCAGATCTGAAAAGTTCAGCCCTGCCCTCTTTGGGGGCTACATATTTGTTTGATTCGTTGATATGGCCACCCAATTCATAAAAGAGACCCTGGTAGCTTACAGTTGGACAGAAGCATTTTAAAAAGTAATTATAAAACCACAACAAGCAACTAGAACCAAAAGAATGAATAACAGAATAACCAAAGGCAGCCATTAAATGGACCATTCAGAAACTGCTCATTCTGGATAGGTTCATCTCATACTCTGGTCCGGTATTTAAAATGACAGGGCACATGACTTACCTACCCCAAATTATTGGGGTATAATGATTTGTAAACAACAGTTTATGGCTTAGCATACTGTATAAACCTGGTCAATTGAAACTATTACTTAATATGTGAATCTAGCTAAAGTCAAGTTTCTCCATTGAAAACTCTCTGAAGCAGGCTATTTTTGATGTAGAACTCAACATTTTACATTTCCTGCACATGTTTGCACAAATATCAGTAATGGAGGCATAGTAGAGCCTTCCTGATAAAAACAAGTGTTAAAAATGTATTAAGTATTTAAAATGCTAGCCCAACAGTGTCTTGTGGCACCTTCCATAGACCAGGTAGACTTCATCCAATAAAATATCAGACTTTTTTTTCTGTAGACCCCGTACAATTTGTTGAGGTTTACTGTTATGTGCTCATTACATGAGATTCAGCTGAACTGTTACTGCTGTAGTCACCCGTGCCCATGCAACAACCAGTTACCATGTAGAAGGTGAAGTGAGATGTTTTTTACAACTCTTATTGATGTTTTCTGCAACATGAATGAAACAGAGGCTGAAGTGGAATTTTCTTAGGCTTAACTATGATCCATGTGACACTAACTTCTTAATACATCTAAGACATCACAAATAGATTATAAATGTACAGAGTCATGTGCTTTATCTTGCCATTCTGTATCTAAACATTACTAAATGGACTGTTTTTCTCCCCCTTTGGGGTTTATTTTCTTTCTAGGAAGTTTTCAGTTTTAGTCATGAGTTCTCCAAAGCCATCTGGTGGATTTCCAGAGGAAGTGCAGCATTACAGATCTCTACCGGTTTACATCAGGAAATGCTTTTAGCAGTTGGATTTCAAAGCTTAAAACCAGGCCCATCCAAGGGAGGAAGAAAAGTGCAAGAGGACAATAATAGCCAGTTTATAAGCTTTCTGACCATGTCTTTTAAACAAGATTCATTTAAAATTATGGTTAACAGATTAGAAGTTGCCATTCTAATCAGACCAGTTTTTAGCATAGAGTACCAAGACAGAGTCATCAACTCTTTTTAGTGTGGCCACACTCAGAAAAGAAGCAGATGCACACTAAGGCATAGTGCAGAGCTAGCTTAGAGATCTCTTGGCTAATAAAATCATGTCTTCAATTGGTTTAAGAAGTTCATAGCTCAGGACAAGTCTCAGATAATCTGTATTCAACTATTGACAGCAACCAAAGGCCTCAGTTTTACATAGAAAAGGAGATCCACCATGAGCATCCTCACCCTATCACCAAAAAAGTAAAAGTTACCAAAGTGGGTATCTTGTATGTTTACCAGATACAGCTTGGCATGCTTGCCACCAACACTCTGTATACAGAAATTTCCTCTAAAGAATATGTTTAACTTTGGGGAATCTGGTTGAAGACACTGTTATTTTAGGCAAGGTTGCTGCAGATGTGGCAGCAATCCACAATCATTATTGCCTGAGAATAGAAATTTCTTATATGCACAAAGTTTCATAACTGTAGCAGGAAGGAGCTGGTTCCAAGAGCAGTGGTGAGTAGTGTTGATTAAGCTGTACAATGCTCAGCCCCCTACACAAGCAAATCAGTAGCAACATTTATTTCACTATTGTAAGTTGTCCAGAGCCACGTATATGAGATGAGCAGCTATATAAGTTGAATAAATAAATATCTCAAAGTATTCTTAGATAATAATTCTTCATAGTTAAGTAATACTGATCATTTAAATAAATTGTGATAGAGAAAGGTTATGACTCAAGCATGGAAAAGAAATATGGACATCATTACCAGCATGTAGAGCTAGATATTTTGCTTTCTAATGCCTCTGCCAATATAAGCATATTAACTAGTTTTGGGTTGCATTTTTTTTATGGCTTATTAATGTATGTATAGTTTATTTTCCAACAAATTATGCATTATCTCTAATGTGGAAAATATTGGAGGGGTTTCCCTCCCATCATTCCATATTGAGGATGCTCAGTAATTTCTAAGTGGGCATTACTCAGCATAATTAAAGAGGTTACCTCCCTACAGGTAATTAGAGATTGGTCCTCTCTTTTATCATTATTATAATGCATGTGTCCACTGTCTTTCATAGTTCACCCCATGTGTGCGCATGTGTTTTAAAAACTTCTGTAACTGCTGCTTATAATTATTATCTAGGAGATTGCTACTAAGGTTGCAACTCAGAATATGAAAAAGCCATTCCATCTTGAATGAATCCCAAGTAATACATGGCCTGTAATAATTGGATCAGCCATCCTTGGCATATGCTAATATTTCTCCTTTACATTTGCCAATTTAATTTCCTTTCTTTATATGCAGCAGTGTATAATTATATGGAAAGAAACTGAGATAAGGGTTATTGCTGCTGGAGAAGCTCATGGGCATTCAGTAGGAATGGACCAGATTTACTGACCTGAAGCTGTGGGTTTTATGAAGTTAGGCCAGCCTTTTCCAAGATATTGCCCTCCAAATGTATTGGACTAATTTTGGTGGTCATCCTCTGCTAGCTAGAAAAACATAGTTGGTCAAACACATGTGGATGATACTAGATGAAGAAGCCTGGTTTTGGTGAGTCTATGAGGTTAAATTTGTCACTGAAAACTTGCAATGTACATAAAATTGTTAGGAAATTACACATATGCTGGAGAAATAGAAAGGCATCCATTGTATCCTTCAGACTAGAGAAGTCACAGGAATCTTGGATGTCTTGGAATCAGGTTTCTGTTCCACAGCAAATAAAGAGTCAGAGTTCCAGCTATAGTCATGACTTTACAGAATTTCACAATTAATAGGCCATATCACAGAAATTATCAGTATAGTTCACCTCTCTAAATCAAACTTTTCCAATATTGAGTGCCTTAAAATTATTTGAGCCTACTTGCAGAGAATTGACATCTCAGGAAAAACATATTTTCTGGAACTGTTCCAGAAACTCTTGAACTTCCTTACTCAGTTATGAGAGGATCAAGGAAAAGATGAATAAAGGCAGATAGCCTTCTCTGATAAGGAGCTTTACAATAATCCCAAGATTAGGTTGGCTCCCAACCTATTAGTTTATTGGAAAGC